CCCGACGCCGCTGCGGCAGCGACACCAGCCACGGCCCCCGCCGCGCCGGCCGCCGCGGACGCGCCCGCGCCGGCGGCCGCTGCAGCAGACGACGAGAGCCGCTGTATGGAGGCCACGACCCTTCCGGCCGCTTCGCCCGCCGCAACATCCAGACCGCGTGGCACTACCCTGCCTGCGGCCTCTGCTGTGGCCGCCACGGCCGAAGCCAGGTTCTCCGCTTTGAATCCGGCCAGGGCGCCGTCGGGGGAGGAGCTCGCCTGGAAGATAAGGGCCACGGATATTAGTGCCGCGGCGGCGGCCAGCCCGGCACGCACCTCGGTGACGGTCAGCGCCGCTTGCTGCTGCGGCAGCGGGGCCTCCTCCTGCACCGCCGCGGCCGCCGCAGTTGCAGCAGTTGCCGCGGCCGCCGCGGCCGGGGCTGCCGGGGCGGCGCTCCGCTGCGGCTGGCTCCAGCGGACTGGCGGCGGCGGCCGCTTGCTGGCGCAGTGCTGAGCAGGCTGCGCGCGCGAGGCCGCGCGCGCGGCGTGGTGCTTCAGGGCTGTCACCATCTCAGCCTCGATTGCCTGCCACGCGCGGTGCAGGAGGAGAAGGAATGAGAGGGCTCGACTGACGGGGTACTGGCTGACAGATCATGTGCGTGTGTAGACGCATGCGCAAGCCGGGTGCGACGCGAGGCGTCGTGGTGGCAGGTGCGACGCTGCACCCTGGGCCTGATGCGACCACGATCTTGAGCGCGACGCTCACCGTGCGGAAGCCGCGCGCCGCATGGGCAGGCCGCTCGGCGTGCGTTGCGGCGAGGAGCAGGGGCACGAGCAAGGCCAGCTGCGACGTAGGATGGTGGCAGGAGCACCGGGTTTAGGTGGGGCGCTCGGGTGAAGATGTCAGTGGGGTGTGCCAGCCAGCAATGTGGATCAAGCTAGCACACAGATGCAGCAGCAATGGCGTGTGCTGACACGGGCGCGCGCGCACGCCGCCCCTGCGCTACGCCTGCACCCCCGTAGGTGCCGCACCTTGGCCGCGCGCTCGGCTGCCCTGTCCCATGCAGACTTTGCAGAAGCGTCATCACCAACATCGTCCTGAGAGTTGCTAGGCGTCCCCTGCGTCCCATTGGGGGCCAGCCGGGGTGCGGGGTTACAACACGCCCATTCGCAAATCTTGAAGCCACAGCGTCGTATCTCCCACCTGCGCCCTGACGCAGAGCTGGAACCGCGGAAGGATCTTTTTACACGCCGGCCTGCTGAGGAGTCTAGGCCTGCAGCGAAGCCTACTGCTCGTTGCGAGGGCCAGCGGCCCTCGCGACCCTGTTAGCATTTGGAAGAGCTAGCAACTGTGGCAGTTGCAATGTGCTACAGCCACTGCGCCGTCCGCTGCTGTACCTCCCGTTTGCGCGCCATCCGTCCAGTCATCTCCCTCGGACACATCACTGCACGCACACCGAATTCAGGGTGCCAGTGCTCACGATAGACAAGAGCACACTCAACGTAGCAAGATCGGTGGCATGTGCCTGAGTGGGCTGTTGCTTGGGTGCACGACGGGCTGCGGTCATGCCAAGCACGCACTTGGGTGCCATGAGACCGACGACAGCGGTTGGGTGCCGTTGTGTGCATTTGCTTGGCAGGAGTTGCTGAGCGACATGTGTAAAAATCGTCGTATCATGCATGAATTGACGAGGGTTCGATTACCGAGGGGTAGAGTGGTCACCACCGTAGACACCGCACACGGCAGGTGTGGCAAGCAGCAGTGTGCTCAAAGCGATTGGGGTATCTCGCCCATACCCGTGCCACCGGTACCCCTCGATACACTGAATCACCGGCCGTCTTTGGGCCTTGTCCTAATCAAGTCTGACGAAGAGTGTGACCATCGCGGAATGATCTGACTGTCTGCTACTGACTTCAATATAAAGTTGGCAATTCAAAGGAACTATCTTTGCCCTCATCTTTCACCATTGCGACATGCTATTCACACGCTGAACGCTTGTTGCCAACATGACTCCTATGACTCAGTCACGTTACGTCCCTTTTACACGGTCGAGTCAAGGCCAACCTGAGGTTGACACGCGTTGGGGCATGTCACGACCCAACACCGCTCACAAGAAACCAGACATTGCCAGGTTGCTTTCCCAGGCCTGGGATACCACCCTGTGCCGTGGAGTGTTGAGGCAAACAGGGGGCTGCGGCCTCTGCTGTTGGTCCATACATACAGAGCACCCGCCTGACAGATACCAAGTGGACAAGGGCAAGATTTCACCCACCTCAGCGGATTCTCGCACTCGGATGGATGATAGGAGGCTCCTGTCCAACTCAGACGAGGATACCGGTTGGATTTAGGACCGCCATTGCCAGGAACGCCCACCCACACAACCAAGGCGGTGTGGGATAGCAGGTGGGCGGGGGTTCACAGCTGGGCAATTCAGCAACAGAGCGCAGCAGCAACATTCAGCGCCACTCAGCGCGAGATACCGGAACCGACACGTGGTATCGGTAAGATGCCACCCACTACGCAGGTGATTCAGTGTATCGAGGGGTATTGGTGGAGCGGGTATGGGCGGGGATCCCCCAATCGCTTTGAGCTCACTGCTGCTTGCCACATCTGCCGTGTGCGGTGCCTTTGGGGGTGACCACTCCAGGCGCCCCGCGGCAATCGAACCCTCGTTGCTGCGTAAATGCTGCGACGGAGTTCACCTGTGTCTTGTACACTCGCCTCATATGCTGCATACGCCACGGCACACGAGCACCCGCGCCACTGCCAGTGTGGTGGTGCTCAGCGTGCGATCTGAGACGCCCTGTGTGCATCGCCCCAGGGCATCCCGCAATACTCATATCGAATTGGTAGCATTCTTAATATACCACGATTATGACCTTATAACCGGTGCTTTGGCGGAGCTGTCGGTTCAAGCAAATCAACACCGGGCAGCTCCAACCCAGGCCATGAAGAGCCAGCCACGGCGAGTGTCTAATAGAGTTTGAACCTTCGACATGGCAAGCACCGAACCCCGCGTTCGGTGCTGGAGCAGGGCCGGCTCCTTGTTGACAGCCGTGCTGGTGCTGCAGGCGTGCAGCGTGGGTGTCAGAGGATGGAACTGGGTGAATGGAGACGCTTTATCAGCGTTCGCTGCTGCAGCCACGGCGCCAGCCAACACGGCGGTCGAGGGCGCCTCGACCAATGTCGCAGCATCGGCGCTCGGTGCCGCTGCGGCATCCTGCGCTCTGTCACGCTGTGACGACCAGGTTGATATTATAGAGCAGTTGCTGAGCCACCTGGAGCTAGCCAAGGGGCAGAACACGCAGCTGCGAGAGGGCCTGCTGCGGGCCCGGCACCACACGCCTTTGCTGGTGGTCAACCCCCTCGGCGGGCCGCGCAACACTGAGTGGCAACTGGCATCGCTTCTGTCAGCCCTGCTGTGCGTGTGGGCGCTTACCCGCAGCGCAAGGGGACGGCGGCGGGAGCGGCAGCTGCAGCAGCTGCTGCGCGACAAGGAGGCTGCCTGGCGTCGCTGCATCGACTTTCTGGCACGATCAGCGGAGCAGACTGCTGCTGGCGCAGCGTTGCCTGAGGTCGAAGTGAACGGCCAGGTCCGCAGCGCGCGCACGGTTCATCAATCGTATGTTTCCTTTGTTGATGCACAGCTGTGCACCCCCAAGCCCATGACTGCGTGTGAGGAGGCTGGCTTTGTGCCTCTCCGAACCTTAGCCCACCCTGTTTGGTTGGGGTCCAGCTAATGGCCCACCCCTGCCTGTCACAGTCGCCGGCTTGCCGCTCGCACAACCCTCGCACTTCTGGCGCTCTGCCTCCACGCAGACCGACACGGACCAGCATCGGTGGCGCGCCCACCTGTCTGAGGCCGTCGCGGCGCGCTGCGACGGCGTCAAGCGCGCGCTCGACCAGCGCGACGGCGCGGCGATGCTCGCGGCGGCGCAGGCGCTGCAGGATGACGCCCAGGAGCAGCAGCGCGTGCGCCACGACCAGCGGGCGCGCACCCCGCTTGCCAAGTCGCCGACGCCGCGCCGGCGCGGCGCGCCGGATGCAGCTGCGGCGACTGGCGACGCCGCGGCGGCGCTGCGCGCGGAGTTGGCGGCGCTGGGGCAGCAGCAGCAGGAGGCCGAAGTCCTGCGCGCCAAGCTGGCCTCACGCGTCGCCGCGCTCAGGGAGCGCGCGGCGGAGCTTGGGGAGCTGCACTCGGAAAAGAAGGCGCTGGAGGACAAGGTGCGCCTGTGGGGGTAGCCTTTTGCCAGAAGAGGCCTGTGGCCCGGACCCAAGCATTGCCTGGGGACGTCCTGCGGTCCCAGCAGGGCCCTGCTCACACTTTTTTCGCTGATTTTGCAACCCTGACCCCCAAATGGCCTCTGATGCCGGGCAGCCCATGCGCACTGCTCCCCTCCGCCTTGCCACCCCTCAACCCCCAACCCCGCTCCCCGCACAACCAGGTGGCGTCCCTGCAGGCCGAGGTTGCAGGCTTGGATGACCTGCGGCGCGAGCACGCGTCACTCGAGGCCGCCGCGGCACGGGGGGAGGGCCTTGCCGCGCTGAACAGCGAGCTGCGCCTCGCCCTGCTGGGCGCGGACGGCGCAGCCGAGGAGCACGCACAGCTGTCGCGCGCGGCGTCAGAGGTGGAGGCGCTGATCGCGCAGAGCGGGGAGCTGCGGGAGCGGCTGCAGGATGCAGAGGGCGTGCAGGTGGGCTCAGGCAGTCGGCAAGTGTTGCGGCTTGGGCAGCGGTTTTCTGCTGGTGGTCTCCCACACCGGGTGGTAGTAATGCTGCTGCACGCTTGCCTTACTTGCTCAAAGCCGCCATATCCTGTCGTCAGTCCGCCTCTGCGCCCTACCCCACGTCTACCCTCCCAAAGGCGGAGCACGAAAGGCTGCTGGAGCAGGTGCAGGAGCTGGAGCAGCTGCGGGCAGAGAATGCCGACATGGCGGCGCTAGTGGCGCAGCTGCAGGTGCGCAAAGCATTTTCCTTCACCTTGATTCGCTCCGGTGCGTCACCCCTCCTCACCTGACCCCCTCCCACATCCACGCCCTTGGCCTCCATTTTCCTTTCCAGGTGCTGCGTCGCGAGCGGACTGAACTGGGGGAGCTGGTGCAGCAGGCTGAGGCGCTGCGCGTTGAGAACGCCGCATTGCACCGCCGCAGCGCGCGGCTCCCTATTCTGCAGGAAGAGAACGAGCGGCTCCAGGTGCGGCGTGTCTGCATGCAAGGCGTGCGTGTGTTTGTGTGTGAGGTATTGTAGCGCGCGTGTGTGCATGTGTGTGTGTGTGTGTGTGTGTGTGTGTGCTCGCGCGTGCACGCAAAGGCATGAACGCCATCTGGAGTGCTGGGCAACAAATGCCTCAGCACCGACCCTACCTTAACTATCCAGACTCTGAGCCTACATCCCCAACACCCTGCATCACTCCCCAGGCCGACGCTGGTTCTGTGGAGGACCTGCTGCGCCAGAACGCAGAGCTGCAAGCCGATGCTGATGCCGCCCAGGAGCTGCGCGAAAGGGCCACTCGCCTGCGCGAGCAGGCCCTCCGCCTGCCGGCGCTGCAGCACGAGGCGCGCGACGCGGAGCGCGACGCGCGGGAGGCCGACGCCGCGCGCGCCCGCGCGGAGCAGGCCACCGCCGCCGCGGCCGGCGCGCGGGCGCGCGCGGAGGCGCTGAGGGCCGAGGCCGCGGAGGCGCTCGCGCTCAGGCGCGAGGCGGACGAGCTCGCGCCCGCGGCGGAGGAGGCGCGCGCGGCGCGGGCGCGGGTGCAGGCGCTGCGGGCGGAGGCGGAGCGGCTGCCGGCCCTGCTGGAGGAGCTGCGCCGGGCGCAAGCAGAGGAGGAGGAGGCGCGGCAGGCGCAGTCGGCGCTGCAGCGAAAGGTGCGGCGCAAGCGGTGGTCGCGAGGCACTCGCCGCCCGTCGCTCAACGCCCGTCAGTCAATTCTTTTTGGAAAAGTGGCGGCTGGCTGCGCAGGGGTGCTGCGCGTCGCAATGCAATGATGCAAACTCTTGCAGCTGTCGCCAGGTGTGCTTCTCCCTGCCAACTCTCCAGCCTCACTGCAGCACCAAAGATCCAGCGATGAACACTGCTGCCGCTGCCGCTATCATCGCTGCTGCTGCTCCGATCTGCCAAGCAATGAAATACCTCGCCTGTTCTGCTCTCCCGCAGGCCGCGGAGGTCGAAAGCCTGCGTGCCCAGTGCGGGGCGCTGGCCGGCGCGGCCCGCGAGGCGGAGCGGCTGCGCGCCGAGGCCGACGCCCTCCGTGCCGAGGCAGGGGAGCTGCAGCAGCTGGCGCGAGACGCGGAGGACCTCAAGAGCCAGGTGCGCCGGCACGCGTCGTTCGTGTCTAGGCCTTGCTGGCGTGCGCCTGGGTGCTCCCATGCATACGGCTGTGTGTTGCTACAGGTGAGGACCGCGCCGCGATGCGGCGCGCTCGCACGTGTGCACCGCAGACCTCAAGAGTATTGAAACAGAGCCATATGTACTAGTTTTCTGATGGGTTCACCTTCCTCCTGTCGCCTCCCAGGTGTCCGCCCTGCGCGCCGCAGCCAGCGAGGCGCCGGCCCTGCAGGAGGAGGCGGAGCGCCTCGCCGCCGAGCTGCAGCAGCGGGGCGCCAGCGACGCCGCGCGGCGCGCGGCGCTCGAGGCGCAGTGGCGCGAGGTGAAAGAGCGGGGGCAGCAGCTGGAGACTGAGTATGGGCGGCTGGCGGCGATGCGGGAGGAGCAGGAGGCGGCAGCTGCGCGGGCGGGCGAGCTCCGAGAGCAGGTGGGCGGCACTTGATGAGTGCGGTTGGGCAAGGTGAAGCGGGCGCGGCTGGTGCGAAAGAAGGCCTGCAACGCGGGAGCCGCAGGTGCCGCGACCGCAACCAACATACGCAGCCCCATTACCCCACCACTCGCTTCGCTCGTACAGGTGGCGCGACTTCGGGAGGCCGCGGCCGCGCTGCCGGGCCTGCAGGAGGAGCACGACAAGCTGCTGCTGCTGGCTGACAAGGCGGCGGGGCTGCGCAGCCGCAACGCGCAGCTGAGCGAGCAGGTACGGCCCTGGGCCGTCGCGCCTGACAGCGGAGCATGCCGCCCTTGCAGCAGCAGCAGCAGCAGCAACAGCAGCAGTGTCGAGCGTGCCGCTGGCCTGAGCCATGCCGCTGAAACCCTGCAGTAACCGTCTTGTTTGATTCGTTGAGTCCATGTTTTCCCTTGCTGTGCCCACAGGCGCTGGAGCTGCCGTCCCTCAAGAAGATCCAGGGGGAGCTGAAGCAGCAGGTGCAGGAGCTGCACTGCATCAAGGAGGAGGTCGACGCGATGAAGGTGGGGGGGCAGGGCGCCAGGCTGGCCTAGAGCGCGCCGCACACCGGGGGTCGATGAGCGGCTGTTCGCCTTGCAGAGTGTAGCTGGGGTCAGTGGTTTTGCAGGGATGCCTCTGGCGCTGCGGTAGCAGGGCCGCCAGCCCTTTTCAGCTGGCCAACGGCCATCGCAACCGGCGACCGCCCATCGCCGCCGCTCCGACGCAGGCGCAGGGCCAGGACTACATGCGTGCAATCAGCGGCGCGTCCGGCTCCCAGGGCGCAGCCGCGTCGCCCCGGCCCCCGCGCGCCCCAGGCACGGCGTCTGCAAAGGAGCAGCAGCAGCAGCAACAACAACACGCGCTCTCGCAGCAAGCGCGGCAGCCGCAGGAGCAGCAGCAGCAGCAGCAGCATCGGCATAGCAGCACCGGCGACCAGCGCCAGACCACCCCCCGGCCAGCGGTCGCGCAGCCCCATGTGGCAGCCACGCCCTCCACCTCTGCTCGCACGCCCTCGCCCTCGCCCTCCGCGCACCTCGACCTCTCGTCGCTCCTCGGCGCTGCCGCGGGCGCCGCCGCGGGCGCAACGCCGGCGGCGCAGGCGCGCGCGCTCGCGGCCGGCCTGGGCGGCCTCAGCCCGAGCCTGTTGACGCCCTCGACCTTGGCCGCGATCTCCGCCGCGGGTGCGGCGGCGTGGCAGACGGGGCAGGCGGCGCCGCGCGGCTTGGCCAGCGCGGGCGCAGGCGCGGGCAGCGCGGCGCCGGGGTCGCCGAGCGGCAACCTGGCGGCGATCCGTGCAAAGCTGCAGGTGTGGGGCTGGCCAACAATAATCCCCTCTTTCTCACCATCCGCTTCCGCCAGTCACGCAACCCCTGCCACATCCCGCCCACGGGTGCACGCACGGTCTCGCGCCTGTTGCACTTCCAAGTGGTTGTCGGCCCCAAAACACCGCTGCCCAGGTGCTGAAAGACCAGCTGGCCTCCAAAATGGCGACGGCCAGCACCGAGAAGCGCGCCAAGATCGAGGCGCAGCTCGCGCGGTTGGAGAAGAACCTCGCATACGTGGAAGAGCAGCGGGTGGGTGGCGCGGGGCGCGGGGCGCGGCGCCGTGCGCGGGGGGCGGGCCCCGGCTGGGCAGGAGCGGGGAGCGGCGGCAAGCTCCTCTGCGGCCTGACAGCTGGCAGCGCGGTTTGTGGGAAGTGGCCGGTTTCTGTGATGCCGCGGGGTCCCGTGTGCGCGCCGCAGTGGTCGCGTCGCGCTGGCCCCTAATTGCCCACTGCCCCCCAGGGGCTTGCCCAGCAGGCCATCCGCTACAGCATGGCGTCGATCACAAGCCCGAGCGCAAGCAGCGCCAGCGGCGGCGCGCCCGCCGCGTCCACGCCGCGCGCGTCGGCGGCCAGCAGCCGTCTGCAGAGCCACTATTCGGCGTCGGGCTCCAATTCGACGCCTGCGGCGGCGGTGGCGGCGGCGGCGGCGGGAGCAGGCGCGTCCGGCGCGGGGGCTGCGGGCGTGACGCCTGTGGGCAGCAGGGGCGGCTCGCGGCGAACCAGCGACGCGGCCGGCGGCGGCGGGGGCAACGGGACGCCGTATTACACGCCTCCCGCGCCGCAGCACCAGCGGTCGTGGGGCAGCAGCCGCGGCGGCGGCGGCGGCGGCGGGGCCGGCGAGTAGGGGGTCGCAGCTCCCCCTACCTTCGGCCGCGCCTGGCGTAAGCCTTGGCGCACTCGCACACAGATGTGACTCACTACGGGCAGAGGGCGCTGCAGTCCTATTTCAAGTGACCGACAGACTGGGTCCAGGAGCCCACCCCTACACCTTACTATGACTACCTATGACGAGTCGCATGCACTGGGGCTATCCACCTGGTTTTTGCCACTGCACTTGTCACAGGAGGTGCGGCGCCCCGGCATGGGCGCCGCCGGTGGGGCGCCCCGGCATGGGCGCCGCCGGTGGGGCGCGCTGACATCAGCAGCGCTGTGGACCCCCTCCCATATACTTGCGCGTCGCGCGCTCCCGTTGATTCACCCTTTTGGGGTACGAAGCTTTATGACGCGCCAAGGCCCAGCACCCATGCTTGCCCTGGTGCCCACATGGGTCTGTTTCGGGGCTGCTGCAGCCTGCAGCGGCAGCCACGGCGATGGCGTAAACGCCAGAGTGCCGACGTACGCCTGTATCAAGCACCCTCACTCTTACCAAATGGGTAATCCCAGCTAGAGCAATGCTGCCGTTGTGCGTTTGGGGTGGTAGACCGCCCCAACGGTTGACCTGGCCAGGACATACGTGGCACAACAGGTTGACCGTTGGCCTATTGGTTCCTGATGTCATTCCTGATGTCAGCTACGCTTGCATATGCAAGCGATTATATCTGATGCAGTCGTGAAGTGTACTTGTCCATACACACGGCTGCGAACGCCGCAGTGCACGGGCGCCCGCCGCTGAGCGCAACCGGTGAGATCATCAGCGAGCGCGCTCGGGCTTGCTGCAGCCAAGTCACTGATTACAGCGCATAACTAGCATTAGAATGTATTTGCAAGTCGTTATGAGTGGGCCTTGGTCGCGCAGGAGCAAGAATGCCAGCGGCCACGAAGGCCGCCCAGCAACACCCAAATGCCTGTGGCCCGTCTGCCACGCCCTCTCTAGCCACAGCTCAGGTTAAAATCCTGCCGGTTGATTACCCGGTTTGGTCCTGCAGCTAAAGCCAAGATGCCTTCCGCCACCAAGCTCGAGAAGAAGGAGGCGGTGCGTGGCTGGGGCGACCGCCAAAGTCTTGAGAAAGAGTTTATGAACATGGATCACTGGCGTCTCACCCCACACATGCCTTGCGCTACCTCCACAGTACCACGCCCGCCTCTGCGATTACCTGGACACCTACGAGAAGGCGTTCATCGTCCATGCTGACAATGTGGGCTCCAAGCAGTTCTCCGACATCCGCGCGGTGAGGCTCTTTGGACCGATGGGTGCGGCGGTGCGGCGGCTTGCTGCGCAGCAGCAGCGGTGTTGCGTGGCGCGCAGTGCGTTGCAGCGTGCTCACCTCACCGGCAGTGCAGGCTGTTTGACGACGCTGCAGCCTGTCTTGCCAGCCGTGCACTGAAGCGGTGTGGTGACCTCATGGCAAAGTGCTGGCCGCAGCTGGCAGCCAGTGATCAAGGGAGTGCCGTGATGGCAGGCACCCGTAGCATCGATGGCTCACTGCAGCGCTGCTGGGCCAGTCTCTGGCACGCGTACAGAGGGGCCCCTTGTGCGCCCGGACGGGGCCTGCAGCTGTCGCGCTCGATCGCGCCACCTGCCCAGCTGTGACCTAGCCCCTTTGCAGCGGCGCGCCCCAGCCTGACCCGAGTCGACCCCGCTGCCGCCGCGCCCCCCAGGCGCTGCGCCCGGAGAGCCTCATCCTGATGGGCAAGAACACGATGATGAAGCGCTCCATCCGCCTCTACTGCGAGGAGAAGGAGGACGACAGGTGGGCGCCGCTGCTGGATGAGCTGGTCGGCAACGTCGGCATCATCTTCACCAAGGCCGACCTCGCCTCGGTGAGCCCCGGGGCGGCCGGCGCGGCCAGGAGTGGTGGCATGCCGCTGACTCTGCTGGGGGGCCTGCGCTGCCGCGGCTCCTTAGCAGTGCGCAGCACGGCAAGGCGGCAGCTGCGCGCGGCAGCGGGCGCCGCGGCGGGCGCGCCAGGATGACGCGCGCATGTACTGCCCGCTGATGACCTCTTCGGCTGCTCTGCGCTGCCACCCTTCACCAACCCGGTGAGCCCCCCTCTCTCCCTCCCCCAAAAACCCCAGGTCAAGGACGAGATCGCCAAGTACAAGGTCGGCGCGCCCGCGCGCGTGGGCCTCGTCGCCCCCAACGACGTGACCATCCCCGGTGGCGGCACCGGCATGGACCCCTCCCAGACGTCCTTCTTCCAGGCCCTCAACATCGCCACCAAGATTAACAAGGGTACGATCGACATCGTGAACGACGTGCACCTGATCAAGGCCGGCGACAAGGTCGGCGCCTCCGAGGCGGCGCTGCTGGGCAAGCTGGGCATCAAGCCCTTCAAGTACGGCCTGGAGATCCTCAAGGTGTACGAGAACGGCTCGCTCTTCGACGCCGCCGTGCTGTCCATCACCGACGAGGCGCTGCTCGGCAGCGCGGCGGCGGCGCTGGCCAACGTGGCGGCGCTGTCGCTGGCGGCCAACTACCCCACGCTCGCGTCGATCCCGCACAGCGTGGTCAACGGCTACAAGAACGTGCTGGCCATCGCCGTGGAGACCGATTACTCGTTCCCCCTGGCCGACAAGGTGCGCGCGGGGCGCGCGGGGGCGCGTGGTGTTTTTTGGGGGGTGCGCATGCTGCCTCTGAACCGAACAGTGGTTTGGGCAGGCGCGCAGTTGCGCTCAACAGGGGCGCGCCTGCCGCGCGCTCGATTTGCCTCGGAAGCGGGCGACGATCAAAGGTACTTCTCTCGCACATTTTTCTCTGGAGGATAAGCAACCGAGAACATGGTGGCATCTGTACACTCATCCGCGTCTGTTGCCGTCGCCCCTCCACCCTAGGTCAAGGCCTACCTCGCCGACCCCAGCGCCTTCGCGTCCGCCGCGCCCGCCGCGTCGGGCGAGCCCGCCGCCGCGGCGCCCGCCAAGAAGGAGGAGCCGTCCGAGGAGGAGGAGGAGGACATGGGCTTCTCCCTCTTCGACTAGACGCCCCCGCAGCTCGGCATGGCCAGGGCCTGGCGGAGCGCGCGGTCTGCAGGGCTGGCGAGAAGCGGCGCTTCAGCTCTGCGCGGCGTCAGAGGGGAAGGCCTGCGTCCTCCATCATCATGCGTGTTTGCGCCTAAAATGGATGACCTTGCTGTGCAGTGCTGCAGCTTCTGCCGGTGTGCTGGCGGACGGCTGCTGGGCTGTAACGCGTTGTCTGCAATATTGAGACCGCCAGTAACGGCTCTTGCGGGAACCAGGGTGCAGTGGAGATCCCAAGTGACATCAAAGACATTGGGCCTAAATTTGACATCGGCAGTAGCAGCCACTTGGCTCCCAGCTGCTGACTGTCTTGATGTGGCTATCAGCCGCACACTCGGGCCTGGGTGGGCATGTGCAGTGCACCATGGAGATGTGCAGAACCACCGCTGTGCGCAAAACGGCGGCCTGACAGCTGCAGCGCTGGAGTGTCTGGAGCCAACACAGCAGCTCGATCTCATGAGTATTGACAAGACACAAGTATTTGATCGGTGCTTCGCTGCCGAACATCGATCTGTGTCACAAACAATTCGCAACGTACCGTGCGGAGGCAAGGTCTGCTACGTGTATTTTAACTACTCTAGTAATCGCATTATAAGGGCAGCCGCCTCGATCAGCGCGTTTGCATCGCAAGCGCGGCACACCTCGCGCAGACCGACCTGGCGCTGCGGCTATGGGGGCGTCCAGCAGCACGATCAAGGATACGATACACGCGACCTTCAACAGGGTCGATGTTGGCAAGAAAGGCTACTTGGTGCGCAGGCGCAGGTCTTATGATAACGCATCCTCAACCCAGCAGGAGGCTCCACAAGCCCCCTGTTCGGCATGCTGCCGTTGGCTCTTTTGAAACGTTGACAGGTCACACGCGTCTCCCCTTCCGCCATGATCCATATGCACAGACCCTCAAGGAGGTCCTCCGGCTACCGCACATCTGGGGCATCGACCCTGGCCACCTCGGCGTGCTCTTCGCCACCGACAGGCGCGCAGCACCCTTCCAGCTGCCAGCCAGTGACCTGCCCAATGCTGCCTGCAGCCGCATTTTGCATGCTTCCTTCTTAAAACCCTCCTAATTTCTGTCAATCTCTGGACACGCATAATCTCACACCCGTTGCACTTCCAGGGACCACAACGGCCTGATCACATTGGACGAGGCCCTCTCCTTCGCCAAGCACGCCGCGGGGCTCAGCCGCGGCCTCAAGGCGCGAGACACGCTGACCGCGGGCGCCCTCACGCAGGGCCACTGCAGCCTGGCGATGTGGCGCGCGCTGCAGCAGCCGGGCGGGCGGCGCGTGTTTGTGGAGTGGGTGGTGCAGCTGATCACGCACGGCACGGAGGCGGCGCCGGCGGCTGGGTGGGACGTGCCGTGCGTGGGGGCGGCGGCGGTCAAAAACCTGTACCAGCTTTTTGACATGGAGGTGCGCGTGATTTAGGGGGTTTGTGGTCATTGGGATCCAGGCGTGCCTGCCGTGGCTTAGCTGGCTTTGTTAGCAGCATCCATCGCAGCGCCGCCCAGCCCTACGCTGAACGCAGTAGGCGGAGCCAGATGTGCGTGTGCGCGCGCGCGCGCGCGTGTGTGTGTGTGTTCGCGTGTGTGTGTGTTCACACCTCCTGAGTGTTCCCAGCATACTCGCTACCGCGGCCCCCCTTGCCCCACCCCGCTCGGCGCCGCAGCGCCGCCAAGGGCTGCTTCTAGAGGAGTTTTCGGGAATGCTGCTGTCAGCGGCAGCGGAGCAGGGACTGCAGCGCGTGGTTGAGCACGAACCCAGCGAAGCCAGCAGCGGCGGCGCCATAGAGGAGGGCGACAGCGAAAGGGACGATGGCGCCGCGAGCGAAGGAGGCGGCAGCGAGGCCGCCGCGGGGGCTGCGTCGGACACGGGCTGCAGCTCTGACGGGGAGGCGCGGAGCAGTCGCGGGGCCGTGGTCGGCACGGAAGGAGGCTGGGGCCAGCAGCCGCAGGGCAGCGCCCTAGGCTTGTCCGCGGAAGCCGATCGCGTGCCTCCAGCCAGCGACGGCGACCCGCGCGAAGCGCGCACGCCGCTGCCGCCTGTGCCGCTAGACGTGGTGGAAGGGTTTTTGGACGGGGCTTTTGATGGCATGGGGGGCGTGGTGGACTCCATAGTGGACGCGTCCGAGCTGGCAGAGGCACTGGGGGACAGCGGCGGCGCACCTGAGGCGGCGGCAGCCCCGCCGTTTGCGCTGCGTATGCCAGCGCTGGCATGACGCGAGCGCATGCAGCAGGGTGGGGATTTGTCGCGCTCCCTTCCCCCATGCCAGCCATTGAGCAAATGGTGAGGTCTGTCAAGGATGCATGATAGAAGCAGCGTGCGTGTGCGTCTTTTTCTGCTGTCGTAATCGTATGGGGCCTGCACTCGTTCCCTGCAATGTGGTGTGTGCAGGCGCGGTACAAGACATGTAGTGCATACCAGCCAATGAGCACACCACATCCCCCAAGCTTCGTGGTGCTCCATGTCATGTCACGGTCAATCAAGGCCAGAACATCGTTTCAGGCAACTGCCAGGTACATGATGCGGTGTGAACAATCATCGATGACGTCACCCACGCGAATCCTCTCATTCAACGTCGTGTCCATCACCTGCGGTGGAATGTCACTATCATATTGCAATAGGCCCTGCTATCTCAACGTGTTCGTGTCCCTTCTAGTCACCAGGGCCCCCGTGATCTGACTGAGGGGTGCCCGCCGGGAGCCATGAGCAACGGCCTCAGCCTGCGAAAATACTATGCACCCCCAGTCCTAGCACAGGATTGGCACGATGATCAGGACGACAGGAGTTCAACATGGACCGAGGTATCGCCTTGCGGACACAGCCTGGGGCAGCGAAGAACCTAGGGCAGCGAGGGCGCAGGCCCTCCGCCGTCGCATCTCAACATGCATGTGCCAATGGAGACACTGCGACGCATAGAGATACCTCCTGCTGTACTCCTTCGTATCTGCTTTTGTGTACACATCTGCGTTGGCCGTGCCTTTGGCACGTGCATGGGCCCTGGTTCAACCCGTCAGCAGCATGCTCATCCCACGCAATAGTGTGCGCCCCTCCACCTCCTGCCCCCACCACCGTGCAAACCAGCTCTTTTTTGACCTGTTCTTGGTGGCGGCCGTGTCGGCGGTGGTGCACATATTTGTGGACGACCCCACCTGGCGCGGGGCGGGCCGCTTCCTGCTGTACCTGGGGCTCTTCCATTTCTCCTGGACTTCCAGCACGGTGGGGCGGCGGCTGGGAAGGGCATTGGAATCACAAAGCAAATAGGTGCTTGCAGATCGATAGCGGCATTGTGTTGCTGGGGAGAGTGTGGAGAGGAGGCATACGAGAGAGTAGAGCAGGGACGGGATGACTACCCTCTGCAAACGTCCCGACATACATGCCAGTTGAATCCCTCCTCCGCCTCTGCATCGCCCGCAGCACATCATGACCCGTATACACACCAGCGGCCTGGTATTTGACATCGCACGGCTGCTGCGGCACCTTGGGGTTCTGGGCATGACGCTGGGGGCGCAGGATTTCGAGGGCGACCGGCGGCTCTTCGCGGCCTGTTACCTCCTGGTGGGCCGGCGGGCCATCTCATTGTGCTGCATGCCCCCCCTCAATTAATGTGCTGCCGAAGATGAGCAACAACCAACATGCGCGCGTGCGTACATGTGTGTGTGCGTGCTGTTTTTGGCCTTTGCTACCCATGCTGACTCATTTCCGTGGCGCTGGCAACATGTTTGGATGGTTCGTTGCTCGCGCACACCAAAGCCCGTTTGGCGCCGTCCTCCTGAAACACTCAAAAGCAGCATATATGCTGATACACAGCAAGCATGCACACTCATGCCTGACATCCATGCCACGGCCAGCTCGCACACACCTATGTACAAGCCCGCGGGCAGTCACCCGCGCGCACATGCACACACTCTCTTGCAGACAGATGCATGAACTGCGCGTTGCACGCGCACGCGCATGCACGGCCGCACTCACACACACACATGCGTTTTTGCTCGCAAACAGATCCGTGTCGTGTCTGTCAGCCTGTTCATCGTCACCTGGGCCAGCATCCCGAGGGCGCGTGCGTATGCGGTCGTCACGGGCGGCATGCACTTTGCCATGGTGCGCGGGAGGGGTTCGCCGCGCTTGCAGAGATCTGGCAAATCTTTGGGCTGCGACCGACCGCTGCCGCCGCCAATCAGCAGAACATCACGCAGAGACAGGCAAGCCGTCGTGCCACACGATGGCTGGTGCCGAAACCTGAACCAACTGCCCTACCTGCTGACCACTTGCGTGTCACGCTGCGAGCCGGCCCGTGGTGAAATATACAGCTGAGCAGCCACGCCAGCGGGTGAAGCGCTGCAGCAGCAGCTCGGCGTGCGAGGTTTGGGACCCCTACCTCAAACAGCTCGCGCAGTCGGTGTTGGTACAGCTGTCCTTCCGGCACCTCGCCGTCCGACCGAACGTCGCCTGTGCGCAACCTGTGCCGGCGGTGCTCGCAGGGCGCCCTGGCCGTCCTGGACCTGGCGTGCGCCTCCTTCTTTGACGACCCCCTCGCCGCGCACACGGCCATCTTTGGCTGCATCCTGCTGCTGGAGGCCGCCGTGCCGGCGGTGGTGACGGCGGTGCCGGCCGCGCACCTGCCGCTGCACGTGGAGCACGTGGACGAGCGCCTGGGTGCGTGGTGTCAGTGGCTGATGAGGCCTGAGCTGCACCACAGGGCGCCTGAGCACGCGGGCGACTCTCTAAGACGGGCTGCCGCCAGCCGTATTGGGGCGATGCTCGCAGCAGCTGGCCAGTCCAACCGCCACTGCCTGATTCTGCTGTGTCATCCACAAGTCAGTCCAGGGGACGCGTTGCTTGGCGTGCCTCAAGTCTGTCCCTGGGTTGCACGCTGTCAGATGCGCTGCAGCACCGCACCCACCCTCCCATCCTCTCACCCACCCACCCATTTACCCTCCCAACGACCCACCTTCTGAACTCCTCACCTTCCAGGCCTGCTCCAGATCATTTACCTGGGAGAGTCCATCGTGGCCCTGGGCACCACCCCCCTCAGCCAGAAAGGACCCGGGCTGCAGGCGAGCTCAGGGAACGAATGCCGCGCGCCGCATGAGGCCGCAGGCGGCGGCTGCAGGGATTGCTCAAACACAGCCCCGCCGGGTCAGTCCAGCACTGCTTCGCCACAGCGCGCAACTGTGCAGCGCGCTTGTATGTGCAGGTTGCAAGCCCCGCGACCCAGCCACCTGCTTCTCCCCCCAACGCTCGGCCACCCTGCCCACCTGCCCACCTGCCCACCTGGTTCACGTCTGCTGCCCCCCGCCCCACCGACCCCACCCCAGCGCCGCCTGCGCGCACCAAAAACTCTCCTCTGCGCCAGGTGTTGGGTGTCGCCCTGGGCGCATTTGTGGTGTGGGCGCTATTCATGAGCATATACCATTTGGAAGCAGACCAAGAGACACACGCGCTCAGACAGGTGCGCCACGCCGCACCGTTCAGCGCTGCCGCCGTCCGCCGTCGCGCCGCACGCCTGCCGCGCTTGCACGCAGAGCCATGGCCCTGCGGTGGCCTGCGGCGCAGGTGCGCCGCCCGCACGTGATGAGCGTGGGCCCCAGCTGCGTCCCGCCGCGCGGTGCACGATTCTGCCCTCTAGCACAGCGCGCCCAGCCGCCGCCGGCCGCGTGAACAACTTTGCGTGGCGTGCAGGGCAAGTTGCGCGGGCTGGCTTTTCAGTACCTCCATTTCCTGTTGGGCTGCGCCCTCAACGCGGCCGGCGCGGGCGTGCTGATGGCGCTGCAGTCGTACGGCGGCAAAGAGGAGAAGTGCGGCGGCACCCTCGGCAGCAAGGACGGGGTCTATGAGCCGCACGTGAGCGCCGGCTGGGTTGACCCGCAGGGAGAGCGCGGCCGGCCTGTGGCAGGGCCGCGGCAAGGTTGTGGCGGGCGCAGGTGCAGGTGCACGCCAGGCGAGAAGGCAGCGGCTCTTTGACGCGTGCAAGGGGTTTGGTGGGGGGATGGCCGGCGGCGGCGCCGGCGGCGGTGCCTGGAGCTGGCACGCCCCGCGCAGCATGACAACACCTGCGCTTTTTGCGCTGTGCTCATCCCTTGCCGCCAGGTTGCGTGGACCATGTGCATCAGCTATGGCGCAGCGCTGCACCTGATTTGCCTGGTGCGCGGCACCCACTACCTGCCCCTGCACCGGCGGCGGCGGCCGCGGCGCCGCAGCGGCGGCAGCGACAGCGGCAGCAGCAGCGGCCGCGGCAGTGGTCACGGCAGTCCGAGGGGTGGCGGCGGCGGCGGCGGCGGCGGCGGCGGCGGCGCGGCTGCGCTGGACGGGGCTGTGCCGGTCCTCAAAGACCTGTCGAAGGCTGATGCTGGGGCCGCCCACAAGGTGCACAACCGGCTCGTGGCCTGGTGAGAGGGCCTGCTGCCGGGGGCGGAGCCACTGGATTCCCTTGCTTCCGCCCAGTGGGGCCAACGAACATGGTTTGCAACTGAACATTGGGCTCGTCATGCGGCGGTCTTGGGCTGCCCTCGGCCATGATTCTGATTCTTAGGGGGGCTCCGACGTCCTCGCAGGAGCGGCCTTGATCGCAGCCAGATCCACGAGGCTGCGCCTTGAGCCGTGCATGGGCAGGCGGGGCTGGCAGTGGTGCAGCGGCAGTACGCTGTCACGCGCCTTGTTGCTGATGCGACCACGCGTGTCTGTCGCCCCACCCCCCTCCCCCTGTGCAGGCTGATGTTTGCGGCCCTCTGGCCCTGCGTCGCGTATTTTCTGCCGCTGGCCGCCAACCCGCCCTATCACAGTGAGCAGCCCGGCGCGAAGCGCCTGCGGCGCGCACGGCACGGCACGCTGCAAGATGGTGTGGCGCAGCGCGCGCCATCGGCCACTTCTTGCAAAGCCGCGCGCCCCGCGCCGCAGCCAGCGGTGGGCGCCGTGTCGCCTCGTCCCGCCGAAAAGCAAAGAGGTCCTCATACTGTCTGCACCGTGCTGCACAGCGCCTGGTCTGCCGCCTGGTACCCCACTCAATCAGATGTCCGCCATATTTGCCGGTCTGCCTGCGCAGGCGCGCGGCTCACGACAACTGGCCTGCTCGGCTGCCTGGCGGCCCACGCGGCCGTGTTTGTGCTGATCGAGACGGGATTCACTCACTCGGTGGCGGCGGAAGTGGAGGAGGTGGAGGACAGGGAGGGGGATGGCGGCGTGGAGGGCGGAGCGGGGCGCGGCGGGGCCGGGT